GCCCCTAGCACTTGGTGTTCCGATGCTAGGGGTATTTTGGTTATAGTTTATTTATTAGTATTTACTCGTCTCGTCTTTTTATAATTTTCGACTTGACTTCCAACGCTCGATTTCGACGCTCCAAACTCAAAATTGTGACGTCTAAATATTAATTACTCGGTAGATTCAGTAATTACTTTCGAATTAATTCGTCGCTTCAGCTCGTCAGTTGCTTGGGTGTGACCCAAAGGGTTCAGTCAAGATTAAGATGTAATTTTAGTTATACATTAATATTAATGATCGGAATCGGCCTTCATCCAGGCATTCCGATCACTTGACTTCACTGAATAATTAGCTTTCTAATAATTCCGAACCCCCTATTGGAATAATACACTTGTTTGAAGGACACCATTCCTTTCAGTTAAGGCCGATTTTATTGCATTATACTATTGAACAAGAGTGTGGTTAAAAGGCCATTGTTATTGTTTAGACTATAAATTTAATTTGGTGAACAACTTTGGCTATAGAATTGACAAAGAAAATTTATAACCGAATTGAGTTATTTTACATTTTTATTTCTATAATCACTTAATCTAGCAATGCTGGCCTATTTCTAATAAGTAATTTCCTTGTGCATTTCTCCTTTGTGTATGAACAACAAGGTATTTACTTTGTCTTCTTTGTGTTATGAGTCGTTAAAAGATAATATGCATGTATTAACTATGATGTCTCTATGAATTTTTCCAATGGATTTTCAGTGAGCTCCATCAGTGAAATACTTTAGAAGATTTGAATTAGACGCAAGATAATTTCCATATGATGACATACGACACGAGAAAGTGAAATGGAGGATCTTTGGCATTACTCCGTAACATATATAATCAAGCATAAGTAATTTCCAACCTTTTTTCCTTACAATACTGTTAAGACTTAAGTTGAATTTTTAGATGAAAGATTTATTTCCATAAGTTTATAATTGTTTTTAGTTTTATTTGACTTTGGATTTAGTTGATGTCTGGAATCCGTATTCAAACTATAAATTGAATTGAATATTGAACTGTACGATTTGGTTGATGCAATCCCATATCCTTTATATGAATATATGACATGCTAAAGTAAAAAGATTAGAAAAATTGTTAGTTTAGATAATTAATACAAGAGAGGGGGTGAATTGTATTTTGTTCCTATTGACTACTTTTGCGGAATAATAAAACAATGCATATAGGAACTTGCAAGAACACACAGATTTTACGAGGAAATCTTTCAAGGCCTAACTTAACGTAAAACCTTGACCCTACCTTAGGGATTTCAAACACACAAACTTCACAATAATAGGGCAAACACCAAGTTACAACCTATTAGACACGTACCTTTATTTCACAAGTTCCTCACTGGACTTGCTACTTGATGGGACCCTATCCTACCCAATCTAAGCACCACACTTAGATTTACTCGTACCACCAAAGTACTACACGTACTGCCAAAGTACTAAACATTTGTACCACCTAAGTACAAAACTCACAGCTTCACCTAGTAGCTTACACAAACTGTATGTAAAGAAAACTTTAAACTCACCCTAATAACCCAACCATTACAAATGTATAACACCTAGTATGATAGGTAAGCAATGCACGAAATCCAAAACTAATATGACAAGTTAGAAGCTTGGTAAAATTACCCAATTATAGCATTGTGATTTCTCCACGCATAAACTCACAAAAATCTAAAACCATTTTGCTCTCTACTATTTATACAAGTATTACTCGTATAGAAAGTAGGTTTTCTAAAAGATAAATAATTTAACTTAACTTATCCTCAAACACGGTTTTATGTAAATCAAGTGGAATAAAATCTTTTCCGGAAAATAAGATTAAAAAGATATTCGTTAAAAAAGATTTATCTGTTTAACAAACTGATTTAAAGAAAATAATCTTTTTAGAAAATCTTTTCCTAAAATCTATCTTTTATAATTTTCCATATTATTTTATTTACCAAGCAAACTTGTCATGCTTCTAATAAATTTTGTGCATTAACCTACTTAATATATTAACAATAATTTAGAAGATAAAAACCTTAACTAAATATTATTACTTCGCCGCACTTTTGTTCAGGTAGATTACTTGGGCTCCAAGCTTATTAAGTTCCACCAATGAACTTAAGCTTGTTGTCTTCAAGTTCCTGTTAGGGAACTTAGTTCTTCTTTGAGAACTCTTCTTCTGATATGTTTAACTCCTTCAATAAAGATCTCTTCATGTCTTCTTAGTTCCAGTTACTTCTTCTATCACCAAGATCAACTTCACCTAAACTAATCACACACTTGAAATCCTTTATTAGTTGAGTTTGCTTTAGTTTATGTTCCTCATCATCAAAACCTTTATGATTCAATAATTTCCCCCTTTTTAATGATGACAAACTCAAGAAAACTCTAGAAACAAGTTAAACAAAATAGAAGGTCGTATTTTTGTGTTTTTGGTTTATTTACAGGAAGTAAACACACACTAAAATAAAAACAAAAAGCAAAAATAAACAAAGCAAACAAAACAGAAATAAACTAAACTACTATAGCATCATATCAGAGAAATTTTTGATAATTTCTCAACTGGCACCCAGAACAACTTCATCCTCCAAGTTTGCTTCTTCTTTTCCCCCTTTTGGCATTATCAAAAAGTCCTATTTTTCAAGTTATTGAGCATCTAGCCACAGCACCACAAGCAATTCATCGAGTGTGGGAAACTGAATGCAGCGCTGCTAAGTTACCTTAAGCAAATTCCACTTTCCTGCATAAGTGTTCATCACATATTTATACACACAAGTATAAGCAAAGTTCCAACTATTCATTAAAACCAAAAGATTTATCATCCTATTGAACAATTTTTAAAAAATTTACAACCAAAATTAATTTTTCAAACACTAAAACAGAAATTAAAATTGCTCATGACTGAAATAGAGAAGCAGAAAATAGGCTAGGCTGGATATAGGCTGAAAAGGGGTATGATAAGCTAGGTCTTAAGAAACTCCAGAATTTTCTTGTAGTCCTCCTTTGTTTGTTGTGCAGAAGCTTCCAGATTATCTTCAAGACTCTTGAGTTTCTGTTGAAACTCCCCCTTCTATTCCTGTAGAGCCTTGTCCAGTTCATGCAGAACCTTCTTTTGCTCTTAAAGATCCTTGTCCTATTTCAGCACTAGCTTCTTAAGCTCTTTTAATTCTTTTCCCTACTCCTACACAAGCTTTTCCATGGTTAACATCTGAAGTTTTCTAGCAGAATCCTTCATTTGCTTCTCAACCCTTTCCATCCTATCCACCAATTCTGCAACTTGCCCATCGAGGATACCCTCCTCAACATCAAACTCTAGAGGTTGTTCCATGCTTGTCTGAGGAACAGAACTAGCATATATCCTCCTGCTCTTCCTTACAGGCTGCTCAGACACCTCTTTCTCTTTTCTTTTCCCTGTCACTTTTTCTTTATTTTTATCTCCCTTCTATATTCTTTGAATTTTTCCTTTTACTACCTCCAAACTGAGTCAAGCTAGTGTTTCCTCAGTTAGCACATTCTCTGGCCTCTCATTCAGAGCACCATACCTGCCCTTCAGAATCACTCTAGTATTTTCAAACACAGTTGACAAAATATCTCCATAGCCCACTTTTGTCTTACTTGGAACACAATGTGCTAAGTGCTGATACATCAATGTAGGAAAATTTACTTTAATTTTCTTAGGCAAACAGAAAATTACAGCCATATCCATCAAGCATGCCTCTCCCTTCTTTGTAGTTTTTCGCAAGATGGTTTTCTTAACTAAGTTGAATAACAACTTGTTCAACGGGTTTAAATCATTGTGACTCATGATCTTCTTCCCCCTTTGACCACCGAGGGCTTTAACAATGTCACCAATCAAGTAATTTCCTACTTTAACACTAGCTTTTCCCTTAACGTAAGTTTATACCCCTCAGTTGGAGTTTTCAGAATTTTACCTAGGGTTTCAACATTTAATTCAATTTTTACACCATCGACTATACTAGAAATTACCCCCAATTTTGCTTGAAATTTTTGACAGAACTCAGTCATAGAAATTGGATACAAATAGTTTGCTGAAACTTTTAATAACAAGTATTCCCAGCCTTGGAACTTAATCAAATCAAGAAACTCTAAGAAACTATCTTTCCTACACCAATCTTGATCAATACGATGTCCTACAACATACCTCCCTGCCTGTAATTCAAGTTCGGCGTGATCAGTTACCTCCTCTTCTTCATCTTCCTTTTCTGAATTTTTGTGATCTTCTTTGTCTTCCTCTCCCTCATTCATCTCCCCTCCTTCTTCGTTATCCTCTTTGGTCTCTTCTGAATGTTTCTCTTGAGAAAACTCGTCAACTTCTTCTATTTGCTCCTCAAGAGACTTCTCTTTTTGTTTCTTCTCTTTCCACTCTTTCAACCTTTGAAGGACACTTGAAACAGATGACTCTTCTTGATCACTCTTACTTTCTACTTCTTTAGGTTTAGATGATGAGGTTTTAGGATTTTTAGGGGTTTTGATTGAAGTTGAAGAAGGTTTGTAGTTCACCATGGCTAATGGAGATGTTTCCTCTTAAATGGTGTTTTAGAAGCTTTGAGAGTTTTCTGATGAGACGATTTCAGCAATGATGACCATTGTTGTTCTAGAGATGGTTTCAAATTTCAAGAGGGTTTTTTTTACTGGAAAGGGGTTAATTGATTTGACAGTGAGGTGAAAGAGGTAGGTGAAATAAGATTTTATATTTAATGAAGCGGTGTGATGGATTTTAAGAGATTTCACTATTCAGTCATTAATTGAACAAATTCAATTAATTTTTCCAATTTTAAATTCACAGGATGAATTTTCCAAAGTACTTTTCTTTCCAAATTCATTTAATTTAAAAGAAACTCTCTGAAACTATAAATACACACTTGGAACACGCTTTCTACAGATGTGCAATGTACATACTTAATAACTTACACAGTTAAGCAATTTAATGAACTTACCTTTAGTAATTAACAATGGTGACACTTCAGCTATGTTTAGCACACCAAGATTGTGCTAAATGCTCTTTTTGCTCTATTTCCATTATTTTCGACTTTTCCATATCTTGGAACTTCAGAAGCAATCAATTCAGCTTGATCATCCCAAGTTACAGTCTCAATTTCTCAAATCTTTCTCTGTTCAAGGGTTTTGTCAAAATATTTGCAAGTTAATATTCCGTATTACAAAATTCCAATTTAATATTCCCTTGCTCCACATTATCTTTTAGAAAGTGATGCCTAATGTGGATGTGTTTTACCTTAGAGTGTTGAACTGGATCCTTAGAAATACATATAACACTTGTGTTATCACAGTAAATAGGCACACATTCAAGAATAAGACCAAAATCTCTAACCTGTTGCTTTATCCAGAGTACCTGTGAACAACATGCTGTTGTTGCCACGTACTCAGCTTCAGCTGTAGATAATGCAATTGTGTTTTGCTTCTTGGAACCCCAAGAAACTAAACAAGGTCCTAAAAACTGTACCATACCTTAAGTGCTTTTTCTATTAACCAAATGACCTGCATAGTCAGCATCAGTAAAGCCATTTAAATCAAATGAGTCACTTCTAGGATAGAAGAGACACAAGTCATCAGTTCCTTTATAGTACTAAGGATTCTCTTTAATGCTTTCAGGTGAGACTCCTTTGGGTTTGCTTGGAACCTGGCACACAAACCTACACTGAAAGACATGTCAGGTCTACTAGCTGTTAGGTAAAGTAAAGATCCTATCATACCTAGATACATAGGTTGATCAACATAAGTTACGTCCCAGTTAGATCTTCATCCAATCTCGTTGCTAAACCCATTGGAGTATCATTAGTCTTGGCATTTTCAAGCTTGTATTTCTTGATTAGTTCCTTGATATACTTTTGTTGATGGATCATGATTCCTTTTTCATATTGCTTGATTTACAATTCGAGGAAGAAATTTAATTCTCCCATCATACTCATTTCAAACTCTCCACTCATAAGATCAGCAAAATACTTGCACAAAGATTCGTTAGTTGCACCAAATAATATATCATCAACATAAATTTGTACAAATAGGATATCAGTTCCATTTGACTTTAAAAACAAAGTTGTATCAATTTTGCCTCGTTTAAAATCATTTTTCAAAAGGAACTTTGATAACCTTTCATACCGTGCTCTAGGAGCTTGCTTCAACCCATAAAGAGCTTTGTCAAGCTTATAGACATGGTTAAGGAACTCCTGACTTTCAAATCCAGGAGGTTGTTCCACATAGACCTCTTCATTTAGAAATCCATTCAGAAATGCACATTTAACATCCATCTGGAACAACGTGAATCCCATATAAGCAGCAAATGCGATAAGTAAACGAATAACCTCTAACCTGGCTATTGGAGAAAATGTTTCTTCATAGTCTATCCCTTCTTGTTGAATGAAACCTTGTACAACAAGTCTTGCTTTATTCCTGACAATAATACCATGCTCATCCAGCTTGTTCCTAAACACCCACTTCAAACCTATTGTCTTCTTATCCGTGGGTCTAGGTTCCAGATGCCAGACTTTATTTCTTTCAAACTCATTTAGTTCAGCTTGCATAGCATTAATCCAGTCTGCGTCAGTTAAAGCTTCAACATAGTTCTTAGGTTCCATAGAAGAAAGGAATGCATAGAATGCACAGAAGATTCTAATCTGAGATCTGGTCTTAGTTTCTTTTGTAATATCACTCATGCACTACACCAAAAACTAGATTAGAGATCGCAAAATATAGAACGATTACCAAAGGTAGGCGTTCTCTAGAATAATATAGAACGTCTATCTAAGTTAACCGTTCTATTTTATTTATTTAATATATTTATTAAATTGTAAATTTATTTTATAGAACGCATTTCTTAGTTAACCTTTCTACTTAGTATATCCAAATATTTTACACTTGCAATATAGATAGCTCCTCTTAGTTAACCGTTCTATATGCTTAATATAATTTTTTTAAAATAAAAAAGAATAATCTAACATATGAAAGGGCCCAAAGTTCTAACCCTAACTCCTCTTTCTTCTTAAGATAGTCGTCCACCTACATTCTTCATCCATAACTTCCCCTCTTCTTTCACTTCTTACCTCCTCTAAAACTCTAATTCCTTTCTCTTCTATCTTCATCCTTCAATGGTTCAATGTCCTAGAAACTCCAAGCTAACCTCCGATTAACCTCCTCTTCGTCGTCGTCTTCCTCTATTTACAAGTGTCTAGTCCATACCGTCGCATCGCCGCTAATGATATGAAAACTCTAGAAATACAACGAGCCTTGTTTTCCAACCCCAACTCCGATACAGTGTGTCGCAAAAGTCCAGCGTGAAAGATAGAACCATTAAATCTCAGTTCTGCTCTGTTTATGGTCGCAAGTTATTGTAGGTTTCTTGGTGTTTAACATTTATTGAGGTAGCTTGTTTAATTCCCAATTGTTAATTTTTGATCTTTAACTTTTATCAATTGATTTTAATGTTATGATTTGGTAAATTTCTGATTTTTCATCTATGATTTTGGGTGTTTGGTGGTGCGGCTTTGCTATTTGTGTGCGCTATTGGTGGAGGAGCTTCAGTGGTTGAGGTTGGTGGAGGCGTTGCGGTGGTTGAGGCTGGTGGAAAACGTTGCAGCAGTGGTTGAGGTTGGTGAAAGTGGAACCTACGGTTGAAGCCATTGATTTTTTTTTTTTTTTTTTTTTTTGAGGAAGAAAAGTACTATCACATTGATAGTTATGCTAATTGAATTGTATCAAAATATTGAGATGTAATTTTTTTTTATAGGCATGAGATGTAATTAATTGAATAATGATAATAAAGTTTGTTTTAATTTGGCAATTGATTACGACTTTTACAACTTCAATTCAATTTAATTTTTTGATTAATGATGTAGATTAGTATATATGCAATCTCCCAAAATTTATATTTTAAAAAAAAAAAATAAACAAAGAGAAATGTTATCAGTGTTAACCGTTCTCTTTTATTTATTTTTTATAAGCATAATAAACAGGAGAGAGAACGGTTATTTCTTGCATATAGAACGCCTCTTGTACCCGTTCTCTTTTCCCTTGCATATAGAACGCCTCTTATATCCGTTTTGTAAACTTTACCAATCGCTTAGAAAAAGATCGCCTCTAAGGCGATCTATAAAGCCTATTATAACAGTTCTATAAGGCCTTTTTTGTAGTAGTGATGATTGCATCTACAGGATGTGACTTCCGATGTTTTCATCGCTTAGGTTTAAACTCCTTGACTGGATACAATCTTTCCTGATCATTGTTGACTGGTTCTTCTTTAGGAACTTTTTCTTGAGTCTCATTTGGAACTTTAACAGGATTTTCCTCATTCTGATCTTGATTCTGTTCTTGAGGAGGAGTTCCTGGTGCATTCGGCATTTCTAGTTCTTCATTTGCTTCTGGATTCATTTGCTTAGCAATTTCAACTTGTCGCTTCTGCAATGATGTTGATTTTTCATCTGGATTTGTCTTGCGTACAAGTCTAATTTCAAAATCATCATCACAATCCTGTACATCATTTAATTGTTCAATTTCATCAAATATAATATGTACAGATTCCTCAACACACATTGTCCTTATATTATAAACTTTATATGCTTTACTATCAGACGCATATCCTAAGAATACTGCCTCATCACTACGTTCATCAAACTTTCCCAAGTTCCTTTTACCATTGTTATGAACAAAGCATTTACAACCAAAAGATCTAAAGTAAGAAATATTAGGCTTTCTCCCTTTGATTAGCTCATAAGGAGTTTTGTTTGTGATGGCTCTAACTGATACTCTATTAAGAATATAGCATGTTGTATTCACTTCTTCTGCCCAGAAGTTCCTAGGCAAACCACTTGAGATCAGCATTGTTCTAGCCATGTCTTCAAGGCATCTGTTCTTGCGTTCCACCACTCCATTTTGTTGTGGTGTCCTTGGGGCAAAGAAGTTGTGATCCATTCCATGCTCAGTGCAGAATTCATCAAATTTTGAATTTTCAAATTCAGTTCCATGATCTGATCTGAGTTGAATCAGTGGATTGCCTGTTCTTCTCTGTTCTTTCTTTACAAAAGCTACAAATTCATCAAACGTTTCATCTTTACTAACAAGAAAGAAAACCCACGTAAACCTTGAAAACTCATCAACAATAACCGTAACATATCTCTTACCACTTCTGATTTGGATTCTCATAGGACCACATAGATCCATATGAACAAGTTCCAAAGGTCTTTGGTGCTTACCATTTTCATAGACTTAAAAGAAACTCGAGTCTATTTTCCTCTAACACAAGCATCACACACTTTGTCATACAAGAACTTAATGCAAGGATGTCCTTCTACTAGTTCCTTAGATCTCAATTTATCAAGTAAAGTAAAACTTGCATGCCTAAATCTCTTGTGCCATAATAGAGGATCATTCTCAATGACACTAAGACATGTTAAAATTCTATTAGGAACTTCATTAAGATCAACAACATATGTGTTCCCTTTACGAGTTCCTTCTAAAATAATGTTCCAGTGTCATTGTGAATGATTCTGCACTTATTGGAAGGTGAAGCTTACAGAGTTACCTTTGTCACAAAATTGTGAAATATTTAACAAGTTGTGTTTGAGGCCCTCGACCAAAAATACATTATCAATAGCATGGGAACTTGACCTTCTTACTTTGCCAATAGCAACTATACCTCCTGTCATGTTATCACCAAAGGTCACAGTTCCCCCATAGTAGGCATCTAGTGAGAGAAATCTATATTTGTCTCCAGTCATGTGCTTAGAACAACCACTGACGAGGTACCATGTATTGTTCCCCCTCACTGGAATCTGCATAAGAAATCAAACATTAGTGTCAGGAACCCAGGTTTCCTTGGGTTCCTGTGTAACAGCAGCAGGTTCATTCTTCTTGATCCAAATCTATTCTACATGTTTTTCATTTTTCTTTGTACTCTTTTCTTTCTTAGGACACTTAACCTGTTTGTGTCTAGTATTGCCACAGAAATAACAAACAATACTACTAGGCAGGTTAACATACTTCTTTTCCTTTTGGAACTTCTTTTTGAAACTCAAACCTTCTGCTCTTTTGGTTTGAGCTTTGGTGATCCAATCTGGAACTCTGTATTCTACAGGTTGTTTGCCTGTCCTGGATTTGTCAAGTTCCCCCTCAAGTCTTGCCTTATCTACTTTTATATCTTCCAAATCAGATTTTAGTTTTTCAAAATTCGGATATTGGGCAAGTGGAGGAACTTCAGAATCAGGAGCATCAAGACAGAGTTTCATCAAGGATAGTTCCACATTCAACATTATGTTATCATGTTTCAACCTGTCTATAGTTTCTTTCAAATAATCATTATCATCAAATATACTAAATAATCTATATTGAATATCAAATTTCATATTATCAACCCACTCACTGTTTTCTTAAAAAGTAACCAAAGCTTCAACACTTTGTTATTTAGCTTTATGCAATTCTTTCAATTCTTCTTGAATTTCTAAAGCAACAAATATTAATTTTTCTTTAGAGAAATGTCTAAGTTCTTTTTTAGAAAACCATACCTCGGATTCAAGCTCCTTCAGTTTTGCCTTTTCATCAATTTTTGCCATCAAGCATAGATGGGCAGTTTCCTTTGATGTTTGATCTTCCTCTGAATCTGAATCTGAATCTTCCCAAGCAGCCAACATGGCTTTCTTCACATTGTCCTTGGTGAAGTAAGGTTTATAGACTCTTGACTCTTTGGATTGCTCCTTGCCCTTTGTCTTTCCTTTCTCACCATCTGGTAATGGACAATCTTTAATGAAGTGATCTTTAGACTCTTGTTCTTGGAACTTTCAGAGTTGGAACTCAGGTGTAGTTCATGAGTCATCAATGATCCAGCTAGTTGTTCCATGTTAAACTTCGTGAAGTCCTTGGCTTCTTGTATGGCAGTAACCTTGGATCTCCATCGTTCATCTTGAGGTAGACTCTTAAGATCTTTCTAGCCTGTTCATCAATAGGAATGTGTCTGCCAAGGGAATTCAATTCATTGATAATATCATTGAACCTAGTAAACATTTCCACTATTGATTCCTTTGATTGCATTTCAAACCTTTCATATCTAGACATCAATAGATCAATCTTAGAACGTTTTACCTCATTAGTACCTTAATGAGTTACCTCTAGTAGATCCCAAATCTGTATAGCAGACTTGCATCCCATGATACGATTATGTTCATGAGGTCCAAGTCCACAGTGCAAATACTTTATAGCTAAAGCATTTAATTCAAGTTTCTGATAATCTTCTTTATCATAATCAGAAATAGGTTTAGGAACTACCTCTTTCTTGTCATTGGTTGCAGTTATTTCAAAATCATCAGTTTCAATAACACGCCAAACTTGGTAATTTTCAGCCTTGATAAAGATCTCCATCCTGTTCTTCCAGTAGGTGTAAAACTTACCATTGAACATGGGTGGACGTTGGGTGGAATACCCTTCTTCAAGATTCTCCTTGTAATTCATCTCACAAGGAACTTACTCAGCAAAGTTATCTGCTTACACGTGAGAACCTTGCTATGATACCAATTATTAGTTGAGACGATTAATACAAGAGGGGGGTGAATTGTATTGAGTTCCTAACGACTACTTTTTGCGGAATAATAAACAATGCATATAGGAACTTGCTAGAACACACAAATTTTACGAGGAAACCTTCCAGGGCCCAACTGGAAGTAAAACCTCGAACCTACCGTAGGGATTTCATACACACAAACTCCACTATAATAGGGAAAACACCAAGTTACAACCTATTAGACACGGACCTTTATTTTCACAAGATCCTCACTGGACTTGCTACTTGAGAGGACCCTATCCTACCCAATCTAAGCACCACACTTAGATTCACTCGTACCACCAAAGTACTACACGTACTGCAAAAGTAAAAAATACTTGTACCACCTAAGTACAAAACTCACAGCTTCACCTAGAAGCTTACACAAACTGTATGTAAAGCAAACTATAAACTCACTCTAATAACCCAACCAATACAAATGTATAACACCTAGTATGATAGGTAAGCAATGCACAAAATCCGAAACTAATATGACAAGTTAGAAGCTTGGTAAACTTACTCAATTATAGCACTGTGATTTCTCCACGCATAAACTCACAAAAACCTAAAACCATTTTGCTCTCTACTATTTATACAAGTATTACTCGTATAGAAAGTAGGTTTTCTAAAAGATAAATAAGTTAACTTAACTTATCCTTAAACACGGTTTTATGTAAATCAACTCCGAAGGCTTCGAGATCGAGGTCTCATTAGCCGAAGAAGACCCTGGCCAATCCACGTGGCCTGTGGAATAAAATCTTTTCTGGAAAATAAGATTAAAAAGATATTTGTTAAAAAAGATTTATCTTTTTAACAAACTGATTTAAAGAAAATAATCTTTTTAGAAAATCTTTTCCTAAAATCTATCTTTTATAATTTTCCATATTATTTTATTTACCAAGAAAACTTGTCACGCTTCTAATAAATTTTTTGCATTAACCTACTTAACATATTAACAATAATTTAGAAGATAAAAACCTTAACTAAATATTATTACTTCGCCGCGCTTTTGTTCAGGTAGATTACTTAGGCTCCAAGCTTATTAAGTTCCACCAATGAACTTAAGCTTGCTGTCTTCAAGTCCCTGTTAGGGAACGTTCCTCTTAGGGAACTTAGTTCTTGTTAGAGAACTCTTCTTCTGATTTGTTTAACTCCTTCAATAAAGATCTCTTCATGTCTTCTTAGTTCCAGTTACTTCTTCCGTCACCAAGATTAACTTCACCTAAACTAATCACACACTTGAAAACCTTTATTAGTTGAGTTTGCTTTAGTTTAAGTTCCTCATCATCAAAACATTTATGCTTCAACAAAAATAATATGCCTTGAATTGATTTTCTGTGTAAGAGGGTTTTAAGTGCAAAATGTCCCCTATGGTTGCTATGAAGGTAGTGGTATCTTTTATATTTTAGCTACTATTTCCTATTGAGATGTGAGGTTTTTCATCTTCTTTATATAGGTTTATCAATAACTTTGTTATCTTAGATATGGATATGAGTGACTGGCCCTATTGAAGTTTTAGGTGTGAAACTACTACTTTCCCTCTGTTATCCCCTAGCATCCCACTCTCTATTAAAAGGAAATATTTTCTTTGCATTTGCTCGTTAGTTGCAGTTCCCATGTATTGTGATTCTGATTTCTTCAATATGTTTATATGCTTCTGCATAACTAACCTATCAATGATGCTGATTTTCTTGCAGATTGTGAACTAGAGGAATACCACAACCATAGTTTAATTTCACTACATCTGATATCGCTCCACCTTGCTATTGTTGCTCCTGTCCAATGATTCGGAAACATAGAAGGATGTGTTATGAATTCAAGGCCAATAATTGGTCACAACTTTTCTTAATTCCCCCTTGCAAGCAGATTAAGGAGCAACAAAGTTGGAGATTGATTGAAGTTTTTTTTTTTTTTGTGAAGAAATGAGTAGATTTGTTCTATTATACTTTGTGTTACAACTAGTATGTTCTATTATATTACAACTTCTCACGAGTGAAGTGTATAAAGTTGGAACCAAATCTTTTTTGTAATAGTTAACTCATTACTTTGAGAGATATTACACTATAATATTTTTATATGGAATATAAAAAATGGCCTACCTTTGCTGTGTATATATTGGTACTACTAGTTTCAGTGTGAAATATATTTATTGGTTGATATATTCTAAGATAATTTTATAAAGAAAAAAAAAATTGATGGGAATAATCTCACCTTTTGAGCGTCGGAGATTAATAATCTCACCTTTGAGATTCTTTTTAATAATTCCACCTTTATGCTTAATTCGCAAAAAATAGTCCTAACCTGTCATGTAACTTGCACGTGGGGGTCTATGATTGGTAAAAAATAAAATAAAATAAAATAAATTTTTTTAAAAATTAGATTTTTTAAAAGAAATAAAAATTAATAATTAAAAAACTAAACTCACCAATTCAAGCCACCATCCCCGCCCCTGAATCTGTTCCCCTACCTCGCGTCTCCGACCACCCAGCCCTCAGACACGACATTGATGACAACGCTGGTGAAAGCGCCAGACCCTCCCCCCTCCCCTAAACCACCTGAATCACCAATCCTCTCCCTCACCCACGATTCCACGAAACCCAGACACGTTTAAACCCCCTTCCCTCACCGTCATGATTCCAGCCGCCAAACCACCACCACGCCTCCCTCCTCTTCACCTTGCCCCTTCCCCATATCAATTCCGACCTTCTTCTTCTAGGTATGGTTTGGTGGGTTTTGATATAAATCCCACCATTGGGGTTGGGCTAGTTGTCGTCGACGCGGTGATTTCATGGTGACAGTGGTTTCGGGGCTAAATGGGGTGGTGGTTCCGGTGGGTTTGGGTAGTCTCCCCTTCCTCCGTCCCGATCTCGGCCTCCCTCCCTTTTCCCCGGCTTTGATTTAGTCTGATTGGTGGGTTTTCGATTATTGAAGGTAGTTTTGGGTTTGGTGGGTTTTTGATTTTTTGAAGGTGGATTTGGTGAAGAGTTGGCTGGGGTGGATTGCGGTACGGTGGTTTCAAGTGCGGCTAGTGGTGGCGGTGGTTTTGGGTCTAGTTGGTGGGGTGGTGGTTCTTATGTCTGGGTTTGGTTGGGGGAGGCTGTGGTGAAGCTTAGGTGGTGTTGTTTTTTTTTTTACTAGTAATTCGAATTAAAACTGAACCGAAACAAAAACCAAACCGAATTAGTACTTCGATTTGAATTTTTTTTGAATTCGGATTGGAAAAATTAAAAAATATGGACTACGGATTGGATTCGGTTTGGGGTTTAAAGAAACCAAAAACCGAATTTCGACCCAAAGGCCTATATTCTTTTTCAAAGTATCCAACCACTTTCCCCTTTCATATATAAACTTTAAAAAAAAACCCTAATTCTCAATTCTCCTTTCTCAATATCTTACTCTCTCACAAAGAATGTAGTCAATAAGAAATGGTTGTAAGAAATTTCTGGGTGAAGTTCGAGTTTCGGATTTGAATGTTGCAAAAGAAGGGAACAAATTTCAGTTTGGATTGGATTCTAATTTGAAAAACCGAATTAATTCGGTTTGGATTGGATTGGATGAATCTTAATTCGGTTTGGATTTGGATTGAAATTTTTGAAACCGAATTAATTCGGATTGGATTCGGTTTTGGCTATAATCCAAACCACAAACCGAACTCACACCCCTAGTTTGGACAAATCAAATTATGACACGTGTAAAATCAACTTAATAAAAAAATTACCTCTTCAACCGGTAACTAGGAACCCGGGACCATTTTGAGCGGATTGATATCAAAGGTGGGATTATTAAAAATATTCCCAAAGGTGGGATTATTAA